GGGTATTTGAATTATTTGAATTATTTGGGTTCTCGCGCCATCCCAAATAATTAAAATAATTGAAATATTTAAATATATAGAGGAATCGAGGCGCTAAATATACCCTAGAGGTGTCTCTCTCATATATATATACATACATACATACGTACATTTGTATATATATATATATATATAGAGAGAGAGATGTGTGTGTGTGTATGTATATACATGTACATACACACATACATACATACATATATGCATACATACATACATACATACGTACATACATACATACATACATACATACATACATGTGTATATATGTATTTACATACATAAACATATACATACACATAAATACATACACACACACACATATATATATATATGTAATATGTATACACACTTCTCCCAGGCTCTCCCTCTCTTTCTTTCGCCAGGGCCAGGGTGAGAGGGTAGACCCCTCCCTCTATCTTCTACTGCACAGCCAAAGGAAGGCAGAACCCTGCCCTCCCCGCGCGCGCGCACGCGCACTGGGTCTCTTGGCCTGTAAGTACTAACTCAACGAGTTGAGGCCAAGGGTTGGAAACTCTGGACCCCCCTAATGTCTATGGAACCCCCGGCCTCTTCTTGCTAAGGCTGCCGCATGCTCTGTTCTCCGTCTCGCAGTTTATTACTGCTCAACGGCTTGCGACTGTTCAGAACTGCACACTTCCCCCCACAACACATAGCAACACACTGACCCCCCTACAACACATTGCACTGTCGCTCCGGCATGCCTCTCTCTATCTCTCTCTCTCTCTCTCTCTCTCTCTCTCTGTCTCTCGCTTTACAGCATATGCTCCCCCCGGCATACACCATGCACTCGATGTCCTGTCGGAAAAGCCTACAGTACATGGGACATCAACCAACGGCACTCTGAACTGATTCTGATGGATTGCGAAGAAAGCGCTTGCAGTTGAGTACAGGACAGACCCTACTTTTCTGCTGACACGACATCTCTTACAGTTGCGCTACGCATACGTGTGAAACGAAGCGAAGCCTCTGCAATCCTTTGCACACCTGGAAAATAATCCTTTGCACACCTGGACAGCACTTGCAATTCATGGACAAGTTCACGGCGAGCCTGCATCGAGACGACTTGAACACTTGTGTGAAGTCGCCGTCTTTCCCAATCTGGAGGGTCGCTGCTCGTGGAACATGACATCTTTGAATGCCGCTGGCTATAAGTCGCATGGCAACCGATGTCTTTCTCCCTAGGTATTCAACTGTTTCTCGACGAACGTTGACAGCAAGTGCTATGGGTCCATGGCATGTGCTGGACGTTCTGGGAAGGCTGCATGAGACGAGACTTGTGTGGTAGGCCATGAGGAGCTTCCACCAGTTGCCATTCCCTCGTCTGGTTCGGAAGTCATAACGAGGGCCTTCTGTTTCATCCTTGCTGCCCAGCCACCATTCCTCCGATGTTGATCCGTGCCTCAGCTTGCGACACATCTCAGCCAACGTGCACCACAAAAACTTTCCCTGCGCTCCCAGCTGTGGGCTTGGGACTCTCAAAAGCTCAAAATAGTCATGCCGAGCAGCATGCGCCTGTTCACAAGTTGTGGGCCGCCGGAACTTTCCGTGCGTGATGGCCTTGCCAGAACGTCCCAACAGAGAGCACGAGAGCGAGAGCGAGACTTGCTTCCTACATACAGCACGCTGCGACTCTGATGCGATCAAGCGGTCATAGGTGACACGTCGACGGCGACTTCGAAGGCATCGGGCTGCCAACTGGTCCCGTCCTGGACCCGCCAGAACAAAGAAGCCCACATTGAGGCCACGGCATACTTGACCCGCGAGGCAATGTCAGCAAGCGGCGTCGCTGAAGCATCGAGGCATGGAATTGACAGCATCACGTAGTTGCTGGTGCATGCCACCTCGGAAAGGCCCAGGACAAGAGTCGACGGTTGATGGAGGGAGCATGAGGGAACTAGGCCCGCATGCGTCCTTCGCGGCAGTGAAACTCCGACCCCATTTGCTGCAACAAAAACTTCGATCTGGAAACCACTTCTGCTGCCTCTGGGCTCGTCCCGTTCCCCAGCGCACAAGTGGGTGGGTAAAACAGCGCGACGGCATGGAGACATGTCGAGCACGCGAAATCCCGATGCCAAATTGAGACGGTCGGTGGCAAACTCAGCACGGGTTTTGTCCAATACCTGGAGGATCCCGATGAAACAAAATGTACTTGAATTCCGAATCCCGAAGATACCGGCAGCAACCTTGGCATGCCATCAGACGCCAGCCGTTATAGAAGCTACATCTGCTCCGTGTACTTGTTGCCACCTTAAAGGATCCCTTCAAGTTCTTAAAGAATCCCTTAAATTAAAGGATCCCGTAAAGGAGCCCCCTTAAAGGATCCCGTAAAGCAGGTCGAGGCGCGGCCCCCTCAGCATCCCCCAACCTGCCATTTCAGCGGAGTTTTGAGGGGATGAAGATTCGAGGCTTTGACCATTTGGATAGGGTTTTGCATGAGCCTATTCTACTATATTTGTAGTAGGGACGACTTTTAAAGGATAAGCCTGTCCCTGATAAACATGAGGAGAGTCCAGCCGCTCATTGAACATGGACAGCTGTAAAGGAACTCGTTTGACCTTTGGCCCCGCCACTCAGTCGCAAGGCCACTCAGTCTCGAAACTCCAATGATTCCTTGTCTCCTTGCTCCGTTCATGTTGCAGCAAATCTCTATCCCATGCACCGCAAACAGGCCAGCTTCAGCCTGCCATTGTGCACCACCATGATGCGGAGCAACTTGTCAGGAAGCATCCTCACAAAATTGATTGATGAGCTCTGCTGCTGGACTTGGGGTGACACTGCAACAGCCTCACTCCGAAGCCTGCACCGCACCAAACGAGGCTCTAGGCTTCAGGGGAATTTCACCCGAACGCATACATCTGGTACGGCTGACCGCGATCCGCATCCAATGCCCTTTAGGAAGAACCCCCAAGAACTGCCAGGACCCATTCCTCCTTTTCTTCCTATTCCCAACACGCAGGTGAACATCTTTCCCGGGCCCATCCCCGCCGGAACATTGCGGCGACGATGCATGCAAGCCAGGCAATCTCCTGGAAGCTTGAGATTTCCGGCCGTAGCAATTTCACAAGAGAGGGAGCTCAGGAGGCGGCTGTGGACTGAAGCTTTTCAACTTGCTTTGAACCATCTGTAGCTTCACATGCAGGCTCTCCGAAGGGTAGGGATTGCTCGCTGCAATTTCGCCGTCACACGTCACAGCTCTTGAAGCAGTTCTGACCTCGCTGCATGCCATCCGCTGTCCCGCCATCCTTGGCAGAGGGCACTGGCCAGTATGAAAAGCTACCACAGTGATTTTGCGTTGAAGCTCATGCCAAAAACTTTGACAAAACACAGCACAGTGCCGACAAAGAAGTCAATACAACGAGGACCCGAACCCTGGAACGTCATTCCCGAAAGAATCTGACTGCAGGCCGATAAGAAATACATCTCTCTCAGCAACGTCATGGCCACCACTCCACGCAGTCTAAACTCTAAACCCAAGCCAGGAGTCCGAAGAGTGTCGCAAACTCCGCGGGTAAACTGCACCCCAACCTAAGCAGCTCTGTGAACTGTGCAGCCTGCGCATCGTCAATCGCTGCGCATGTACGGCCGAACATCTGGATCCACGCCCACAGCTGCTCTAAGCCACCCACGCTATGACCCCATTTGTGGTAGTAGGTATCGTTGACAATGTCGAACAAGTACCTTTCCAAGTTCACAGAGCTGGAATGAAGGTCCGACAGCGGCGTGTGAATACATCTGCAAATTCGCCCCCAAACTTCGGGACTTCTAGCCATCGCAGAAAGCTGCAGCGCACACACTGCTCAGGCTTTGACTCGGCGCAGGCATCACAACGTCCAAAACTTCTACACCAGGCTGTCACATGTCTCACCCACATCTCCACTTCTGACACCTTTGACATGCACTGTCTCACTTTTGCCACCCCTTCTTCCAAGCTGCACGTCCACAGCACCCTCTTGTCCGGGAGCGCCACTCCTGCCGGGCCAAAGGTCTGGGCTTCGCGACTGCTGGTGCGGACCCTAAGGAGATGTCTGGAACCTGCAGAGGGCATCCTACTTCAGGATGCTTCAGGCTCATGTCCGGTGATTGGGGCCCCGAAGTGTTTGAGACTCGTATATGGCTCAATCCAATGCGAGAGGCTTCACAGAAGAGCTTTTGCTGATCGAGCTTCCGAGTCATCCAAAAAGCACGTAACACGCGAACCATAAGGCTTGCCTCTCACTTTGAGACAGTGACGTAGGACAAAGGCGTATGCGTGGGTGCCGTTTTTGGATCCTGCGCCTTGATCGTGGCTTGAATCTATGCCTCCTGAAAGGAGGCCAGTCACAGCGCAGCTCTTCAGCTTGCAACCCTTGAACCTTTCTATTATAGGTGCCTAGATGATAAGAATCGGGCTTTGGGACACATTGTGTTAAAAGTAGTACTATCATAATCAGGAACCCCCCCAAAATAGCATTGGTAATTATTCGGCCCGCCCCGAATTTCACATCAAAAGCCCGAGGGGCAGGTAGCGCCGCAGCCGCTGCTGCTGCACAGCCAGGATTGGATGCTCGGAGCCTCGAATCAGTGCATGTTACATGTGCCTCCCAGAAGCTCAATGACTCAAGCAAGACCGGGACTGCTTTGCGCGTTGTCGCATTTTGCTAAGAGGGGCCCGTGCGGTCGAGTCTAAGACCCCGGCCAGAAGGCACCTCGCCACGGGCCAGAGCTTGGTAAGCCTCTTGCAGCGAATGCACGAAGGCGGCAATAGCCCCACCATCCGCGTACCTGCAAGGCTCGTTGCCGAGGAACTCCCAGCGATGAAGGCTCAACATCACTCAACATCACAAGCACAAGCGAAGGGACCGTGAGCGAACCTGATTCCGAGTTAGCAGCTATGCCGCTATGCCAAAACGCTGGCAGGTGGCTTGTGCGTGATGCTGCAGTACAAAAACTGTACGACCTGCTCATCGGTCTGCATATTGACCAGGCACCTCGAACGAGAGCATGCAGAGTGAGGAATGGTGAAGGAGTGCCGACCATTCAGGGCCCCAAACCTGGCGGACCCGGAGCCCCAACTATTGCAACAATCCGAACGACAACATGTTGCCCCGAACCTGAAACAACTTCAAAGTTCAATCCAGCATGGCACCGGTGAAAATGACACTGGGTACCGTCAGGAACTGCAGTCGATGCTAGACCTGATGTGAAAGCGGAGATAGTGATGATGGCGTCCTGAAACAGGGCCTGATGATGACCAGGATGATGGTACCTCTGGCGATGCCGATGATGATGCAGATGATGCTGAGTATGATCGTGGGACGGTGGTGGATCTGAGGACGATCGATGATGAAAATGAGGTGGTGCGGTTGTGGGGGTAGATCTGGGTGTGGGAGGTTGGGGTGGCGGTGGTGCGGGTGGCAGCCTAGCTGTGGTGCTGGCGGATTGTGCGGTACAAGAGAGGTGGTGAGGGCTGGTTGTGTGTGTTGTTGTGGTGTGCTGCAGCCGCTGTTGCTGCTGCGCTGGTGCTGATGTCGGTGCTCCTAAAAACGTGATGATGATGATGATGATGGTCGCGATTCCTGATTTAGATTTGGAAGGCAAGGGGAAAGGGGCTAAGATGAGAAGGCGAGGACGTTAGCGCCAACTACTACGACTTTGCGGGGCATGGTGGCACTGCTGCTGATGATGATGAGGATCACAGGTGCCTGCTATGACCAACATGGGGACCGGGTCGGAAAGATGAGATAAGCCCGTCCGGTACAGCAGGCGTGGCACATGTTGAGAGCCGATGTGGCGTCCCACCACGCCCAACCGGAGTCGTTCATCACACCTCGGTAGGACAATCCGACATAAAAAAGACGGTATTGCAGAGTGAAGCTGCGAGCCTACCAGGTCCACACGGAAAGGTCGCACCAGTGTTTGAGCAAGGCTCGGTAGACTTCATCAGCATTGCACTTGCTGCCGCTCTCCAGGCTCCTGGGCGACCATGTTGCAAGTCTGGGGCGCACAGTACTGCCTGAAGAGGGTGGTGATTACGCTCAGATAAAACTTTTAAACCATGAGAGCACTTACACTTGCAATTGCCACAGCAGCATAGAGTTATGCCCAAAATACCAGTCGAAGTCTTCATGCCCCTGGTCAAAAGCCAAACGGCTGGGATAGCACGGGGATGTTGAAAGCGGCAGCGTCCTGGTGAACTTGCACATGTGTGCAATGTACTTAGAAAGGTTACCGATACTTCATTGCAGCCTTGACCAGCGGACAGGGTTTAGGGTGCAGTATGTATTGCTTCAGCTCTCGACCGGGTGAGGCTGCCGCTTACTATGATCAAAGGAGTTGAAAATTGCGGCACAACATGCTGGGCTTACAGTTGGTGTCTACACGACATGATGGATGCAGATGTTCGGAGTTCGGGCTTGGAGTGGATGGCAGGAAGATTCACTCCATCCAAATCATGCGACACTACAGGTAGACAGGAGCCCATCCCATCTGTTGGAAAATGCTCAGGGAACCTCCGGGAATGCAACATGCATGGTTTAGCCTGGCATGTCAGTCACTGCAAAGTTTTCGGTCAAGGCTTGGTCAGGTGAGGACTTGCCAAATTCTGGCTTACTGTACCAGGGGGTCGAGGGTTGCTCTCACTCTAGGTTGAAAGACGGCCGTCTGACCGTCTGTCCATGGCGCAACCGACACACAAAATCTGTAGGGCACTCGGCAACACGGGCTCGCCAGTTCACTGAACTGCCCGGGTTGAAACCAGGTATACACCCGCGAGGCATCCGGCATGCACAGCCCGAGACCTCGTAGCTAGGCTGCAGTGTAATCGCAAGTGCTTGCCACAAGGGCCATGCAAACCCAACAGACTGGTGCTGGCCTCGAGTATGGCAGTGCGTGGCCAGCAAAAGAACATGGCCTTTGCGACCTTGGGGCGAGCACAGAGAGACATGAGAGACTGAGCGAGTGACGAAGACAGACACATGGACAAACGCATCAAAATTCAGGTCAAGACGAGAAGGAACGATCGGACATACCGTACAGGCCAGGGGAAGAGGAGAACACACTAGTCGGCTTACACCTTGGCCATCAACAGGCCGCACTCTGTTGCAAGTCTGCAGGTTGACTGGCTAAGTGATTTCGACCCGCGATTAAGCGATGCATGCCTTATTTCCTTCGAAAACTATGTCTTGACGTAAGTTCGCGGTCCTCGGTCGGACTGAGTTCGCGAATGCGAACCAGAGGTACTTCTTCGGATGTTGCATCGAAGTTCATGACACGGTCAACCGTTAAGAAGCTGTGCAAGCTTTCCAGCGTTGACCAACTTTGCAACACGAGCCTGCCCAAATTGGCCTGGGTCGAGATATTCATATGGGCACATACACACAGACAACTCGAAACCTTCTTCCTCGCAGGATCCCAGATTGCTCGCCCTGCCACTTCCACGGTCCGCAGGGGTTGCCGATGCAGATCTTGACACCCATAAACGTCCCTTCGAAGCCCAAGGTGAGAATCCCCAAATCCAAAACAGGCCACACTCAGAGCGGCGAGCCACTAGCTCACGTAGGCGACGTGGCACAACGATCTCCTCGCAAAGCAAGGACCATGTAGCAGCAACCTGACCGCGAGCATGTCTCCCGTGGGAGCTGGTCTCCGAATCTCCTGCTTCAGATTTGGGCTTCCGGCTTGAAGACCCTAAAATTTCAGCGTCCGGGCTGCAACTACTTGATGAGCTTCTGCAAGAGATCCGCGAGTCAAAACAAGAAACACAGCTGACGGTTCGTGAACCCGAAAATCGCCTCACTTCGACAAGACTCTTGCCACGGCTCGTGCTATAGCTGTAACCTCTGGGGTTCAAAGTGCATGGAGCCCAAAGCCTTGCTTCAAGTTCAGGCCGAAGCAGCTGTGGTAGAGAAGCCGCTATCTCGGCATCCCAACTTCAAGTCGGTGCTGTCCTCAGGTGTGTAGCAGCACGGTCTCATCAAGACTGTGGGCTCAGAGATGAAGGTTTACGTATCGCTTCAGGGTGAGGGTTTGAGACTCAGGAAATACCAGAGATTTAGACAATGGACTCTCACAGCCATCGTCTCGATCGAACAGCCAGCAATTTTGAGTTGAAACAGTTCTCAGCATCTCTCGTTTTCAGAGTGGGGTTCAGTGCTCCCTGGGCGCAAACTGTTTTTGGATCGGACAGTCACTAGAAAGCTCGAGCTCTCAAATTAAGCTGCATAGTAAGGACTGGGCTTCTCCAGCTCAGATCTTGAGATTCTTGGCATAGCTGCTCAGTCCACTGCTGCTGCACTTCTCGATTAGTCTGAGGCCCTTGAACTTTGCGTCTGTAGCAGCAGGGAAAAAGACAGTTGGCCAGAATCGGGCGTCTGGTGACCCATGTTCCTTCAAAGAGATTTGGACGAGACCGTAGACAAGGAGCATCGAGAGGCGGTCGCGCTCGCCTGAGGACGAGCCGATACTACAATCGGTCAACTGAGGGCATCTAAGGCGGCAGGAGTCGAGCCGGTATGGAAATGTGTAGACAGTACATACCAGCCCCATACCACCGGTGAGGCCAAGGCATGAGGGGCTTCCTCCACTCAGCAATGAAGTAATGAAGTACTTTAGTACGTCGCAGGGCTTCACATTCAAGCAGCTGAAAGCCAGAATGATGCCACCGGGGCACAGCATGGGATGCTGGCGCTGCACAGCCTGCACTGCTTCATGAAGAGTACTGAGGTTCAGCATGGAGCCGTCCCAGCGAAGGAGCACCTGACATGACTGACATGCTTGCGGGCGTCAGTGCAGCTCGTTCAATAGTCTGCATTTGAGAATGCTTTTTGTGCAGAATATCGGGAGGCCGTAGAACACAGCGTGCCGAACTCAGGAAACAGCTTATAGACGCCTAGAGCGCCAAACGAAACTTCCAAGTCTGAGCCAGGGACATCGACTTGACAGTCCCACGGCGCATTGGTGGCACCCTCCCGGTGAATCCTGAACGACAGCAGGCAAGACTGCTACACACCCAAAACCAGCAGCAGACTCCAGTGAAGACCATCACAGGCACCATCCGTTCAATGTGAAACTGGAAGCACTTGTTGCAACAGCCACCCTCCTTATAGTAACGACACCAGCCGGCTGGGATGAGATTGTTCGGAAGGGTCGTGCGTCAGTGCTGACACCCGGCACGACTGAGAATCTTTGGACAGTTCGCACTGGTGCAGTTACTAGTAGTGCAGTAGTGTAGTGCTTCTAGTTGTAGTGAGTGGTCGTCGTCGCCGTCGACGTGGTAATTACATTAGTGGTCAGCAGTGGCGCCTCTACGATAGCACGACCCTTCCGAACAATCGCATCCGAGCCGGTGGAGGAGAGGGGGCAAGCCACCACAATGCTCCTGGCCCCGCCGTGAAACCAGCGCTGCAGCATGCGATGAAAGCCGCCGCTGGACTTCGAAGCAGTTGCTTCCTGATGCGCAGGGCTTGGAGGCTTCATGGCTCAGGGTTTCGAATTTGGTGTCTCAGGGGCACTCAAGAGCTTGCTGCTCGGCTTCGGTCGGAAGCTTGCCTTTCACATGAACATGATCGAGCCCAGTTTGAGTTGGAGAGCGATTGGGTTCACCCACGCGGAGATGGTCAGGACAAGTGGATTACAAAACGCTTGCACCCCTGCCAAGCACCTAGCGGCCGTCTCCAAAGGCTGTTGCCAATGCATCTGCATGTAGATCCATCCAACCCTCTCGTCTGACAGAGCATGCCACACGATGCCGCATGAATGCAAGGTGTCCAATTCGGATAGGAATCTTCGAAGCCCTGAGAGTCCCGCGTCGTTCTTCTGAGTTGCTTCGCACAGCAAGCAAGAAGAGAGCAGCACAAACAAAAATCGTCGGAATGAAGGCCGGTAAATTCCGATTGCAGTCGTGGGTCGGTGGTCTCCATCACCTTCACAGCCATGACATGCACGGGGTGTTGCCCGATAAGTCATACCGCCCAAGCACATGAAGTGCAAACCCAAGTGGGGAAGCTGAAAGGTCATAGGGCACCAATGAACATGGGAAGGGACTCATGGATTGAGCAAAGCTGCAGTGCACTCTTCAGAACGACGTCAAGCTAGACTCCTAGACAACCAAGCAAACAAGCTGCCGTGTTTATTTCGTTTGTACCTTTTGGTACAAAAACCGCGCATCAAGTCTGGCTTTGGGCACAGCAAACTGCGTCCGTGTGTATGTGCCAAGTTGGGAACTTCAATGCAAAGCCTCTCCGACCCTCTATGGAAAAGCCTGGATTCGAAGGAGCCCGACCTCCCCCAAACCCATAAAATTCTGCACCCCCAAGCACGCGAAGTTATACACCTTGAATCCTTTTGAATCCGTGGACCTTTTGTGAGGAGGGCCTGCAGTGCGCATGCCTCATGCCCGCCTCACCCTACACCCTATGCCCTATACATTGGCCCCAAGCCCTGAAACCCTCAAACTCAAGCCTCAAGGCGCTCCTCAACCAGCTGCAAGAAGCCAGTCTCGTCCGCACATGCCTCAGGCAGTTCGTTTACTCTATGACATTTAGCACGTCGATGTAATTATCTAGTCTCTGATCACTAAAGTCATTCAGCTATCCTGCAAAACTCAGCGGGATATGAAACCATGTTGTCGGGGCGCAGCCCATGTCTGGACCCTGGTTCAAAACAGAGGACACCTGCAAAGCCCGACCCACGCCACCTCACGCAGCTCGTTGAACTCAAGCGCCTCGCCTCCAGCGCTCACAAATTCAGTATGTAATGCAATACATAGTAGCATAACCTATGCCACAAAGTATAACGGAGACCCTTCCACATGAGTCCGAACTTTTTGATGTCTTGCAGCTCCTGGCAACTGCATTCACGCTGCCGCTGGTGCTCGTAGAAGACCATGGAGGCAGAGTGCGGCAGCGACAGTCGGCAGCCGCGCCCCTCTTCGATCGGAATGCGGGCTATGGCGTGTACTTCTTTGGTTGCAATCTGATCCAGGCCGTCCTCTCCAAAGATGAAGGCCATGCGGTCATGTCTGAGGTCTGCTTCCCAAAGCTCGGTTGCCTCCTCGGAACAGCTGAGCCCCAAGGTGTGGAAGCCCAAAACCTTGAGCTCACCCAAGGCTTCCGACAAACGCACCTCTTCGGGTGGTGTGAGCAGGGCGACGCCCCAGTCGGGCCGTCGCTGCAGCTGCGAAATGCGGATCTCTTTGTTCCGCGCAGCAGAGCCCAAGCCACCAAGCACCAGCAAGAAGGGCACTCCAAGAAGGGCACATACTCGCAGTGTTGCTCCAACGGAACCTGGAGACGGCTTGCAAAGGACTGCTACGGAACAACCACCCGGTTCTTCCAGCTCTGTGAGGAAGGCATCCCAGCTCTTGCTGAACAGCTGCCGGAAGTACGCCCGCTTAGACTCAGGGCTTCCACTCACCTGGATCTGGGGCGGCGCGGCGTGACACAACAGGCGGCCTGACGGCCGCATGCCCCCTGCGACCCCTGCGGCGAACGCACAGCGGGACGCCAGGAAGGCCAGAGCCCAAGGAAGCAGGAAAGCCATGGCAGATGAGGACTGCTGGCGAAACAGTCGGACCCTGAATTAGGCAAGTGGTGCTTCGTCCGAAACTCTCTCTTTGATACCGACTGCTGACTATCTCAATGTTCTACCCTCAATAGTCATGACTTGAATGGCCTCCGAAGCACTGGCGACTCACGCACAACAGATGGACTAGCTACGCCGGCTAGCTTTCCTTGATACTTGGGTACACCTGACAGAAACAGTCCACGACGAAAGAGAATGATCGCACAGGCCAATCGGAATGTTGCAAGGTGCACTGCACGACGTGACCCAAGTCGAGTGCCTCCAAGCCTCCTGGCGTGCAGGCCCTGCCTGCCCCTTCCGGCATCTGAAGTGAAAAGTCTTGAGGGGGTTGTGCAGTAAGGATCCCACTGACCGGGCGCATGTGCTTCTTGAGGAGGACGGAAAGCCGGGCGATGCGTAAGGAGTCTACCTGTGAACACAGACCAGAGTCTCTCGCACAAACGGCGTGTTCATCCGTCTGCTGTTCTCAGAACTGTGCAGGGATCCCTCTGGCAACATTGTCGCCGGCATCTGCACGAGCAAAGGCTTAAGTAACTTATCTTTACTCTGTCTCAAGCCCACAACTGAACATATTTCGACGTATTTGCTGACGGCTTCGAAACAGATGCATCCCAAATCTTGCAGCGAGACCGACGTTTTCGGCGAGGTGCACTTCGGAAGTCCACGCCGGCCTCACGGAAGCCGACTTCCGGGGAGCAACGAATCACTTTGGAAGCCTTCGCCTCCTCGGACATCCCTCTACTGATCCTGACCGCAAACGCACTGAAATTCATGGTCACTACACTTACTGTGCCCAGCCGAACATAAGGGTCGGCCTGCCGGGCCAGCTGCTGCGCCAGCTGGGCTGCGGGAGTCTGGGCCAACACCGCAGCCACCTGTAGGTTGGGGTCGGGGCTGTAAAGCTAGCTCTTAGAGATACCTAAGCATGTCGGAAGGATAGGAACGTGGGGCACGGTTTCTCAGAAGAACCCTCCGGATGCTCTCCAACAGTCCACGTTTTGGGACTCGGGATTCGTCCTTGGCGACCGAAAGCTCTTGCAACTAAGCATAACTAAGCCATCGGGCCTCTTCATTGGCTTCTTGCGACACATCCTGCTCAGGCTGCAGGATGGAGGAACCCACATCAGAGCCCACCCTGCCGCCAGGCTCCTCCATGAAGTTGCTCTCTGTGTCCACCCAGATCACCTTCAGGCATCTGGCCGGCACGAGTTCTGCAAGCACAGAGTACAGCAAAGCTCCGACCCGAATCTGCAGGGTTTATGGAAACTACTACACTTTTGTTATTAAACACTAAACCCTGATTAGTTGCTCTAGGCAGCTCCACCTCATTTCGGCCCATGCCGCTCTGCACGTGCTCCAGGTGACCCGATGGCCCGGCCCATGGAGAGGACTCCTGAGTGTTTTTTTTTGCCTCCTACTTAGCAAGGACAAGCCCGCATTGCTCCTGAGTGTTTAGGGATTAGGGTTGAGGGTTTTGTGCTCTCAAACTCGGGTTCAGTCGGAGAATGCTCGGATTTCTGGGCTCAATGCTTGCACCATCTGTTCTATCTCCGTGTCAGCTTCTTGAACCCAAAAGATTCCCGGGAAAACCCCGGTGCACCAATATGGCTATTGTCGGCATCTTCCAATTTTTGCATGTCACAAGTTGGTACTAGGTGTTAGTGCTACATCGTCATCATCACCATAATCAGCATCATCGTCGTCATCATTATCATCGTCACAGTTGTCTTTGATGAATACATATGGTGATTACGTTATCGGTATTATTGCTCATCATGGCGATTATTACTATTATTGACGTGCCATAAGTATGCTGCTATGACTCGCTTTCAATTGCTATTGTTATGGTTGTTTGTGTGGATTTCTGTTTGGTTCGTAACAATATAGCTTGCGCTGCTTCTGGCTCCAACTCTGTTTGTCATCAATGGTCGTCGTTCGCTGCCGTAGCCATAGTGGTATTGGTAAGTGGTAAGCAGTAAGCGACAGCAGTAGCGCCACTGGCAGTTGTACCAATACTACTAGTACTACCACCACTGCTACTAAGCCGACTCCCCTCCTCCTGCTCCTGCTGCTGCTGCTGCTGCCACTTCTCCTGCTAGTCCTCCTCCTGCTACTCTGGCTGCTCCTACTGTGGCTGCTACTCCGACTACTACCACCCCTACTCCTCCTGCTGCTACTCCTCCTTCTCCTGCTCCTGCTCCTGCTCATGCTCCTCCTCCGCCTCCTCCTCCTCCTCCTCCAGCGACTGCTGCTGCTACTGCTGCTTCTGCTTCCACTGCTACTCTTCACCTGTCAACCTGTAATCCCCATGATTATCAGCCGCATATTGCTCGAACTAGTAACTAGTAGTGTTAACGTCAATAGCATCGTGACAATCATCATCATCGTCATCATCATCATCCTCGTCCATGGTGGTGAGTGTGGATATGTCGACCTGTGTAACCTTCAACATGGCAACCCTCGTGACGCCGCGATGCCTTCTTGCGTGCGATGGGCACCCCGCCCTTCTCAAGCCACTTCCATGCCAAGCCCTGCAGGTCAGGGTTTGGCCCTGCATACGATCCGAAAGTGGTGGTCTGGGCTACGAGAGGGCTCTGATTTGTGATCTCGGCACAGGATGTGGCCGTCATTCAAAACTAAGGGTCGGCAGAAACATGATCGGAACAGAACTCGGCTTGGGCGGCTATTTTGCGTAGGAGGACATGCCTGAAACTCAAACTGCATAATGCTGGGCAGCGCCAGGACGAACAGAATCGGGAAGCAAACCTGCGCTGGCACACCATCTTGTGCAGTACCAGACATTCTCTGCATGCTATTTTGCTTGAGCTTGGTCGGGCCATATGTAGCATCCCTCTATATGGACAACCGTGTCTCGAGGATATTTCACTAAATCCGCCATTGGTTGTTACTATTCTTACTACCATTATTACTACGAATATTACTCCATTATTGTTATTGTGTTGTTGTTGTTATTATTACCTCGGCGCTGCATTAGTCTTGTGACCGCCCAGAAGCCAAATACCGGAGAGTCTCGATCATACTCGAGCAGTGAGCCGCCACACGCTGCATTGCCCAAGCCTCGCAGGGAAGCCGAGCACAAGCTATCGAAGGCGGGCTATTGCTTGTTTTGGGTTTTGGGTTCAGGTTTTAGGATTTCCAAGGACAAACACGAACAGAGACACACCCACACACACACACACACACTAACTACTGTAGCAATCAAGAAAGACTGCACAATGTCCAATTCATTTCCGGGCCATGAAGCTGGTGTCGTGCCAGTGCTTTCTCACATGGCATAATCATCTAAGGAGCCGTCCAAGAACAAAACTTCCAGCAGCAAAACAATTGCAGGGGCTTTGGGGGTATGTTGCGGGACGATAATGACTAGCTATTCAGGCCCCCCCTATAGTAGTGGCGAAGCGGCCAAACCGCCAGCAGCTCCGGGAGGTGCAGGCAGCCTCACAGACTTCGGCTACGTACTCTGCAAGGCATGGGCTCAGGACTGGGACCTGCACGGGCCATGCAAAAAAAATATTTTTACTTCGAACATCCCCACCTTACACATAATGCATTTGGCGGGCCACACCGCTGACTGGCGTTACGGTCGTGGCGTCCCCGGTCACGTAACAAAACACAAGTGTTCGATTCCAGGTCATCCGACGACACCCATAGGGTCGCACCACCGACCGACGATACGGACATGGCACGTAACAAAACAACATGTTCGACTCAGGTCGGTGGGCGATCCATGGGGTCACACCAATGACCGGCGTTACGGACGTGGGGCCCCCGTACACGTACCAAACCACGTATTCCATTCAGGTCAGTCGACGATCCATGGGGGCACACCACTGACTGGCGCAGAAAGTCTCGCGGTAGTGTCTGCCATGGGGTTGGGCACGCCGGGGAGTCTCACGGGTCTCTGGGGGTGGGCACTCTGGAAGTAGTCTGAGTCGGCGAGGAGCGGGAGGAGCCGGAGGAGCGGGAGGAGCGGGAGGAGCGGGCGGGAGGAATAGCTGACTTTAAAATCTCAGATACGGGGGTGGGGAAAAACCGAGACTCTCGGATGCCGCACTCGCCATCTGATCTTCCCAATCTTCGAATGCTCGAGCAGGGAGGAAAGAGCCCCCCTAGATGTGTGGCCAGTATTCCATTCGTGGCGACAAGCTCAGAAAAGGAACCCCAATATACTGCTAAACCTGCTCGATCCTTGGGCAACCCTGGCGAGGCAGCTTTTTCGGCGCCGCGCTATTAAAGGCGTGAGCCCTTAGGGCACGCACGAAAGCGCGGGTCACGCGGGTGAGCTCATTAGCCACCGTCCAACTGCCTCGATGCTGTGAGCTTCGGCTCGAAGAGCTTTGAAGGAATGTAAGGGTGTCGAGGGATCCAGGGAATCGATATCTCATGACCGCCAGCGGTGTTTTTTGAGCTTGCAATACAGGGGGCGAGCAGGATGTTGAGAGTTGGAAAATTCTGTTGGTTCGGTGCTCATGCGAGCCAGTTCTGCCCAACCGTTCCTACTACTGACAAGCCTTTCTCATTCCCCTGATCTTCTATTACAACTTTCGTGCAGGTCCACGTCAGTGAACCGAACGCTTTCAGTTTTTGTTTGTATATATATATATAAGCATGTGGTACAGTGATACAGTGCCACAAGTATATGTATACACATAAGGATGTGGGAAAAGACTTATCTTATCAACGGCTGTGCTCCACAATGTCACATTATGCACCTTCCAGATGGTCTCAGGCGAGGCACTTGGTCAACGTATCTACACCTTCACGCTGGGCAGCAACTGCTTCCTCTCGTCTTCCTCCTGCTCGATCCTTTGCAGCCGGAATACAAGAGATCCTAATGATGTCCCCCCATCTGTCGGAATCTTCGGCCGAAGTTTTGACCAGGTCTCTATGCTTCTCTGAAGCAACATCCAACTAAGTTGAGATGGCAGTCGCGATCTAAATCCCTGGACGCATCCTAGCAGTCCTAGCACGGTTCGGAGTTGACTTGAAGTAAGGACACACAGCTCAGAGCCATGACACTCGCGACAACTCGGAAGTTTGGGAGAAGCAGGGGATCGCTTAGGGAAAAAGCAAGACGGGAGTCTGTGAGCGTGCTTTTCCATAGAGGATGCCCCCGAAGATGGACAGGCAGGCGCCGAGAATCTGGCCATGGGTCAGCACCTGAGCTGCCGACTTCTGCTGAATATCCTCGTCTCACAAATCAATTTCATGTTCTTCACTGAGGCCGGTGCCTTCGTGTGCATGCCAAAAGCCTCGATGCCGATAATCACGAACTTGTTGGCGTTGACCATGACAAGGAAGCTGGTTGCACCTTGGTTCAATATTGAAGCGTTTCGAACAGCAAACGATTCCGACTCATTGTCATACTCACCGGGAGCGCTGCAGGTGTGTTACTTCGCACAGCAGGAAATATGAAACAAAAAAGATAAGTAACATCATAACGATCCTATGAGAAGTTTACAGCTACGGTGCAGGATTCCGCAAGATCCATCGTGCGCCGGGTGGCTGATCAGGCTCTGGGCCCAAATTCCAGTGAAGCCGATGGACAAGCCAATGACCTCGGAAGTATAGGATTGGCTCTCAGTGCAACCGAGAACCCTTCAAACACCCGAAAGATTTGGGCACAACTTAACGAATCAGCGAAGGGGCTGCATTGGATGTACGTAAGTCTTCTTACTGTAGCCATCGAAAAACGGCAGCGTGACTGGCACGACTCACGACTTCTACTTCTAGGTCATGATTGGCGCAAAAACCGGCATCAATCGAATGCATTCCTGCCACAGCCGACTGAATGTGGGAACGTCCTTTGTAGCTTATTTCACTGTGGTTTGTCGCACCGGCACCGGAGTCCATCCCATAAGTCATGTAACGAGAAACCCCTAGAGCCTCAAACCCCACACTACACCGAAATCACGCATGAAACCCCGAAACTAACGCACAGGTCCAACGGACAGGGCGGGTTTGGCTGTCAACCTCGCGTTTGTATGAACCTGAAAGGCTTTTTTCCCTCTCACTGAAGGGCTTTGGATGCCAGGGTCCTGAATTTCAGTGCTCACAAATTGGCACAGCACTGCGAAGTTTATGACTTCCATTGCAGGGTTTTGGGACCAGGTTTGGGTGGAGGCGGTTTGTGGTTTACTGTTCCAGGTGTCGCGGAGGCCTTGCTACGCAGGAAACCTGTTTCAGTCTTAGGTGCGCGATAACATGAAATCCTCAAACTCCTACACCGCATCCCTGACTCAAGCCGAAGGGCACAGCTCAAGCCGATATACACCTTGTCCACGCCTCTGCAAGTAACAGCTCAAGTTCAAGGATCACGTGATGACATGCAGTGAGAATCGCCGACGCATGCTTCAAAACCCTTACTCAGCCTGCGTCAAGCCACCAAGCCCTTCCCTGGTCGGGCTGATCTCCGGCAGTTTGCCGCTATCAACACGATATATACGTGCATAGATACAGACAAAGATAGACATATTATATAGCTATAGATATAGAAATGGGTGTGTGTGTGTGTGTGTGTGCGTGTGTCTCTGTGTGTGTGCATGGTCAAGTTCTATCTCAGGAGTTGGAGAAAACGGAAGGACTGCAACGTCCTTACTGATCACCAAAGTTTTTCGCCACTGAACCCACAGTACTCCAAGCGGGTGCGATTTAAGATGCATGAACTTGTTTATGTAGCTCGAGGATGATGATTCTCATGGTGTTGCTTGTGGCTGTAATAAGTATGTTGACAGAGATGACGATGCCACCATGGTGATGATGACGATGGTAAAATCGGCTTTGTTCAGCGGCAATGGGACAGCAGCAGCAGCAGCAGCAGCCAAAACAGCAACAGCGACAAACGCAAATGACATCACGCACATTCATAAGCCCCCCAATCAAGTTCAACACGAATCACAAGCCATCGCAGCCACAGCCACCACAACCACATGCAGCGCAACCAGAACTGCACAGAGATACTGAGTGCAGTGCAATCGCAACAAGAAGCAGAAGAACAGTTTGTGTTCAATCCCGCCTGTGAGGCTGGCATACGCATAGGGCAACTGGCCTGACAAGATGCACTGCGTTGATACATAAAGCCGCGTGTCTTTCGGAGCATATTCTATTTGGGGTTCCGTTCGAACGTACGAGTTACGGTGCTTCTGCAGCCCCAAGTTTCCAGCCAGCATCACTGCCCACAGCTATCGTCACAAGCCACCAGCACTAACCTGAATGACGAAGCCGTTGTTCTAGCTTGCAGTGCTCCCGATTGTTACCTCCAGTTGGACACATAAGTCTGATAATCATTGCTGGCATTGCTGGGTACCATGGCTGCACATGGTTTCCAGCGATGTTCTTCGTAACCTGGACTACTCGCAGTGACAGTTGTCTTCACAAGATTGCCATCCCCTCTGTGCTGCTTCCAGCTACCCGTATTTTCGCGTGATGTTACGCCACCTGGGCTTCGCCCATCCTGCTGAGCAAACCCCATTCTTGCTTCACTGTTCGTGGACCACATGGAAACAAGTGAATCACACGGCCACTCCACTCGGTTCAACGATTCCTGAATGAAGTGCAGTCACGCGGCCGACTTCTCCCGTGAAGTAGGCTGCCATGCCCACCGGGATCAGGCCCATCATGTTGTTGATGACCTCAGAGGACTCAGAGGACACATCAAGCATCGCGACGGAGCAGCGAAGGTTTGGCAGCGGCGGGCATGCATTGGGCATCTCGTGACACAAGTACAGAATGGTCCGGGGCTACACGTCAGGAAGTGGCTACGTGCGCTGCTCGACTATCTCCTGCAAGAAGAGCTGACCAGCCGAGCGGCAGTGATGCCTGCAAGTGTGCAGAGGGAGGCACTGCTTGCCAAGTAACGCGAGTGCAGCATGCATCTCGCTGCAGCACTGAAAAGGATAGGGACATGCGGACCACAAGAAGAGCACGACGCTTTGCCATTATGTTTAGTCGTCGCTACTCCAACGCACGGGCCTGTCTTGGAGATGTCCACGGGGTGCTGGTCCTGAAAATCAGCGTGCTGAGCAAACGTATGGTTCCTTGGCAAGCGATCCCCTTCAAGAACAGCACCTACGTCTACCTAAAGTTGTAAGGCTGTCGTGCAAGGCTGTAAGTTACTCTAGAGAAGAAACGCAAAGCCGTGCAACATCCGTAGGTTCACAGTGACTCCTGGGACCTCAGCCGACCCTGGACCGACAGTATCCACAAGGTCGCATTGTTGGAGTACAACTCTGATCCGGCTACGACCTCGCTCTTGAAGACTGGAGCAACTGTTGGTGAGGTCCTTAGACAGCAGCAGGCGCTGCAGCAGCCGATCGCAGACTGCAACGATGCTGTTCAGCATCACCCAGCCAATGCCCTGCAAAGCTGCTTGCGGCTGGTGGGGGTATAGACATCGACTTGGTGACCTGTGGTTGGCTTTAGGGGTATGTAATTTCGGAAGCACCAGCCCGAGCAAAGCTGAGCCACAGATTTCCTAACATGTCACCGGAACATGCACAGGGAAAATCTCCGAAACCCAACAGCCCGCATCTGGATATGCGCTGCTGGACTGTGCTTTCCTGGCAATGCAACCCTTCCGAAGCTCGAAAATCGACCGCCAGTGGCTTAGTTGTCGTTCGGCGACGTTTGAGCCCATGTCAGAAGTCCGTGAACATGGATGGAATTTTGGTTGTTGCAGGCGTTTTGCATTGTGTGCATGAACCGCGGTTGGTTGCATCTTTGCCCTTGTCCCACTGTTTTGGCACTGTTGTGGCTTGCTATGTAGCAGGCTTCTGAGATGCCCTGATGCATCAAGCAGCCACAAGGCTGCAGCCGTGGGATTTCACATTTCACCATGCCCAAGTAGAGTTCCCGTTCTCTGAACTTGGCATGAACAAAGGCATAGATGTAATGGGTAAGCCTGCCACATAACATACGGACATATGCGGCTGTTCGTAAGGCGTACGGACATCTTTCTGCGGGCCTCCCAGTGCTCGGCATGGAGCTGGGAGACATACATGACCGCCCCGGCAACCCTGAGATCTTGCTTAAATCGACTACACTTACAACAGTAGTAAGTTTCACGGTTCGGTTCCGTAAGGGTGTACTAAAGTGGACTCACTTCGCCCTAAACATGGGAGTAGCACAATTTTCTGGGGATATCAAACCGAACCTTACTTGAACCTTACTTGCAGTATTGTGGGCTGGGACCTGGAGCGAAACCTCACGGCTTGAAGGTTGAGGTTCGTGCGTAGGAGACTCTTGAATAGCCCAACTGCTGCTTGGAGCACCGTCTATAACATAAGACTTCATCTTTAGATGCGTCTACTGTAGCCGGAGCAAACAACCAATCACAAGGGAGTCTCTTCGTGTATAACCGGTGGCCATACAAGGTCAACCACCAATTGCCAGTCGTCCTCTGCTCATATCGCAGAAGACTCCCCGCTTCTTCAAAGAAGACAGGGAACTTTCAAGGCGGACTTGCTGTGCCCAAAAAGTCCAAAGGCCCCTGCCTCCACATGAACACTCTTGAAGTCAAAAGCCTCTGCGCGAACCGAGGATCATCACAACGATGGCGCAGATCATGGTTCCGCTGATGCGCAGCGGCTCTGGGTAGAAGCCTGGAGGAAGAGCTTCCTCTTGGGAAATGCTGTGGATGCCTAAAGAGGTTGGGGTAGTATATTGATACATGCTTGAAGCTCCCACATCACCAGCTTGGTGGTTCGGAACCACACCCCCAGTGCTCGGAAGCTTATAGCCGTGCCAGAGCTGCGAACCAAAATGGAAGTCAAGCCGTCAGCCCCAAATCCAGAAAACCCTCATGCAAAAAGATATACCACCAGTTCACCCAAGAAGCGATGCGGAGGAGCCAGTAAACTTGTTGTCAAGTGGACTTGAGATTGTGACTCCGGATATTTAGGGCAGATGGTGATTGTCCAACAATGGTTGTTGCTGGCCGCTTGTGCTGTCACGACTGTGCTTACCATGCTCTTGTTGCTACGAGTAGTACCCTTGAGGCCAATATCACTAAAGCTTCAAGCCGGGGTCAATGACTGCCCTCAAGGCGGCGACTAGCAGTGCGATGACGATGAACTCACTACTGCTACGAGCGCTGTAAGATCACTATATAATTATTATTGCTATTCGTGGGCACGTTGCCTTTGTCATAGCCGAGCTTCGCTCGAAGATCAGAGAAAAGAGGGGCGAGGCACTCCGGAGGACGATAACCAGGGACATCGGAGCCTTCTTCCTTCCGCGAAGCCGGTGTTCAGCGCTTGATTGGGGAACAAAAAAATGTTTAGCACTCGCACTCGATGGGGTCAGGCGAGGTTTCGGGAGACACAAACTTCACAACAACGTCCACAGGCAGGTATCGCCCGTTGCTCACCGAGTGTTGGAGGCTTTGAGCTGGTGCGAAATACGCTCGCTAAATTTCACACTCTTACTACCAGGGCTGCCGTTCACTGCTGCGATTATTATTACAGCTCCGACTCGTGCTACCATTACCCTTCATGATCCCACTTGCCATAGCCAGCGCCATCACTTCAAACCCCGCTTCTACAACTGCCGGCGTTGCTACTACCTGCTACTACTACTACTACTACTACTGCTGCTGCTGCTGCTGCTGCTGCTACTACTACTACTACTACTACTACTGCTACTGCTACTGCTACTGCTACTGCTACTGCTACTGCTAATGCTGCTGCTG